AAGGAGAAGGAAGGCATGGCCAATGGTGTCATTGTGGGAAGTTAGCATGGATGCAGACTTCTTAGACCAGTTCAAACCGAGGGCAGAGATTTCTAGTCTGCCCAAAGTCAAAGGTAAGCATGTTTAAGATCAAATTTTCAGTCATTGTTTTGGGCATCACAAATTGATAGAGTTCTTATTGATGAAATTTTTAGTCATTTTACCACTCAAATTTTCAGTCATTGTTCTTGGTTGATACAGGGAAGTGGAGAAAAAAGATGTAGGTTTTTTCAGTGGTTTGATGCAGAAATGTGTGAGCGTTCAAAGTCTTTGATACATGGTTTACTGAGGAAGATTGATAGGGTGGAGAAGGAAAATGCAAAGATTTGAGCAAAGTCAAAAATATTGTGGGCTGCTATGTTGCTTTCCTGGTTGGTGGTGTTTGCCATGAAGATGAATTAGACATTTTGACAATAGCTCAATGGGCACTGTAATTTGAGAACAAATGTTAATGTAATGTAAGGCACTTTGATAGTAGTTTAGTGGGCAAATTTAATTTGAGAACAAATGTTAATCTAATGTAAGGCACTTTGGCAGTAGTTATGTTAGTGTAATGTAATGTAATTTGGTGTAATGTAATGTAATGCTAGTTAAGTTTGTTCATTGTAATTTGTTTAGAGGTTACAAATGGTGACATGAATGTAATGCTAGTTAGTTAAGTAATGTAATGCTAGTTAAGTTTGATTTGTGATATGAATGGTAACTTTTTTAGAGGTTACAAATGGTGACATACTGAATGGTCAATTATCCATAACAGACATCAATAATCCCACAAACCAAATATAAGCAAAAACCAAAACAGGTTCCAAAATACCAAAACCATAACAGCCTTAGGAATATAAGCACAAACCAAAACAGGTTCCAAAATAGGTTCAAACCATAACAGCCTTAGGAATATATGCACAAACCAAAACATTCCAAAATAGGTTACAACCACAACAACCTTAGGAATATATGCACAAATCAAAACAGGTTCCAAAACCAAAACAGGTTCCAACCTAAACATTCAAGGATGAAAAAAAGGATCTTTGACAAAATGGCTCCTCTGTTGATCTTTCATCCTCCTCTTACGTTGTTGTACTCGAGATAGTTTGGCAGGTTCAGATGCTTGAGATGGTTGGGATTGAGAAGCATCAGCTGCTTGAGATGGTTGGGATTGAGAAGCATCAACTACTTCAGATGCCTGGGATTGAGAAGGCTTTTGGGAACTGCTTGCTTGTTTCCTTTGCCTTAATTGCATACTCTGTTGTTCGCTACTTTGGTCTCTACCATCTCTCCTTCTTACCTAAAATAAATAATAATTAGAAGTTTCCATGATATAAAATTTTGATTGGTGAAAACATAGTTGAAACTGTGGCACTTACTGCAAGTTTGTCCTTAGCAACTTTTCTCTACCTAGTAGGCTTTATGTTGGGATTTCTAGGTTCCCAATAACCAAAGTCATTAAGTCAGAAAAACCAAATCAAATACATTTAAATGTAAAGCAATAAGCCTATAATGACATATACCTTACAACTAATTTGATTATGCCCTTCACCGCAATTGTCACACTTTAAAGGGATGATATACGTAGGAAGCTTATATGAATTAGCAGGTTGTTTAGGTTCATCAACAGCTTGTTTTCTTGTCTTCTTAAGCCTACCAGCCTGCTTGTGGTATTTCGGAGGGAGTAATGGAGGTAAATTAATCTTCATCCACTTATCTTGGCTAGTCATAGGCATAATCATTGGTTCATAGGCTCTCAAATAAGCCTCTTTCTTGTACACTGCATCACAAAAGTCCTTTGGATTCCCATAAAACCAACTTATTGCAGCACAAGCATGCAAACATGGTATTCCATTCAAATCCCAAACATGGCATGAACAAGAGTGGACATTCAAATCAACAACAAAGGTGTGGCCACTATGGTGCATTACTTCAAACTTATTCTATCAGCAGCCTTAGGAATACACCACTGAGCTTTTCCTTTGTTTTTCTCTAATATCTTTCTAATTCTTGGCCCAACTTGTCCATGCAATTTCTCATAGAAAACCCCTCTTCCAGTCGTCAACAACATTCTTTCTAGCATAGTCAAAACAGGCTTGTCTCTGGCATCCATTATGCTATTGTTGAATGTCTCACATAGATTGTTCATAAGCATGTCACACTTGGAATCACTCTTGAAATATGCCCTACTCCAATGCCTAGGATCTTTCTCTACAAGCCAATCATGTACAGGTTTGGACAACTGCAATATCTTTCTCATCTCTGCATGAAACCATGGCACTGTTGTGGCCCTAGCAATTGCTTCCATTTGATGTTTCAAGGCAAGACCTCTATGTTCCAAATAAAAGTTTCCATATACTAAAAATAGAAAATAATATGTTCAATTTGGTTATCAAGTTGTTGTGCAGAAGAAAACTAGTGATATTAATAGTGGTGTTGGTGGTTCGAATAGTGCTCAAATGACATTGTATTGGAAATTGATTTGGAGCCTCCATATTCCAAATAAAATTAAGCATTTCTTGTGGCGTGCCTCCCATGATATCCTTTTCACTTGTGTCAATTTGGTGAGCAGGAAAGTAATCCCAAAATGTATTTGTTTTCGTTGTGGCAAGTCCAATAAATCCCTTATCCATATTTTATGGGAGTGCAAACTAAGCAAGAAAGTTTGGAGGCTTTCTATGTTGGAATTTGTTGTTGAGCAGTGGCATATGATAAGCTTACATTTGTTGGATGTTGTGGAAAGCTAGAAATGATAATCTTCATGGTCAAGGTGTGCATAATTGTACCCATCTTCTTGAGAGGAGTTTTGAGCTTTATGAAGAATCTCATAATTCTCAAGAACAACCACGTGCTTGTAAGGTTAAATAGAATGAGATTTGGAGTTATCCCCCCTGAAGGTTTCTATAAGCTCAATGTTGATGGAGCTACTGACAACGCAACAGGCTTGCGTAGCAAAGGTGTAGTTGTTCGTAATTATTTTGGAGTTATTATGGGTGCCCTAGCCATGCAAAGCCCTCTCTGGGTTTCCATTCTAGCTACAGAATTGCAAGCAATCTATAGAGGAGTTTTATTTGCTGCAAGTGCTAGTTTTGTCCCTCCCCTCATAGAAGACTCTTTTGAGGCTGTTATGATGATTAATTCATGAAAGACTATTTGGGCTATTGTTGACAACATTGTGGATGATGTGAGTAACTTGCTCATGTAGTTTTCTTTAAAGGAAGTCCAGTTTTGACCTAGAGAGTATAACAAAGCTGCTCATGCTATTGCCCGTTTTCTTTAAAGGAAGTCCAATTTCGGCCCATGGAGTCCAATTCTTGGTTAGAAGAAGGCCTTGTGTGGCTAATGAATTGTATTCTTGATGGCCTTATTGTAACCAATGCTTCCGGTTAACGAAATTTATTTCTTTTCGATCAATTTTTTTTTTTCAACGAGTGATATGTGTACTCTACTAACTTCTTGAAAATACAAACAAGATAATTTTTTCCTGTCTTTATCTTTACACTTTTCCCCCTTTATCTTTTTCATTTAATGAGTGACATGTGCACTCCATTAACTTCTATAAAATTTTAAAAAAATTACATCTTCCTCTCTTTATCTTTTCATCTTCTCCTTTTAATTTGTTCCTTTTCCATTTAATAAGTGACATGCATAATCTACTAACTTCTTGAAAATATAATGAAAATAACATATTCCTCTCTTTATCTTTTCATCTTCCCCTTTTAATTTGTCTTTATCATTCAATGAGTGATATGTGTACTCCACTAACTTTTAGGAAATATAAAAATATAGGGTTTTTTTTTCACAAAATATACCTAAGGTTTACGAAATTATCAGGTTTTCCCTTATGTTTTTTGTTTTGGTGTCAATAGTGATCCTTAAAGTTAACATTCGTGTTCACAAATAGCTTCCATTAAGAAGTCCGTTAGTTTGCTTACATGGCACATATGTGGACCCCATATTTCCAATAAAATAAAGAAGTGAAGTAGTAAAGATAAGGTGAAGTTGGAGTACACATATCACTCAATGAATGAAAAAGAAAAAGAGGTGAAGTTGTAAAGATAATGTGTTATCTTCTTGATATTGTCAAAAAGTTAGTGCAGTACACATGTCATGTCACTCATTGAATGAAAAAAATAAAAATGAGAAATTGTAAAGATAAAAAGATGTTTATAATTTCTTATTTTTATCTTTTTCATTGAATGAGTAACATGTATATTGCACTAACTTTTTGAAAAAATCAAGAAGATAACACCCTATCTTTACAACTTCACCTCATTTTCTTTTCCACTTAATGGGTGGCATGTGTACTAAACTAACTTTAGAAATATATATATATATATATATATACTTTTAATTGTTGAAATTAGGAAACATGTTTCGAAATTTTCACCTTGCATAAGTATAATATAATAATAATTTGGGAAGTAGATTCTATCCCAAGTGGTGATGGTTGTTTTCGAAATCTACTTCCAATCAAAATCCCTATTATCTAATGTAAAATTGTCATTAGTGCATAATTTTCCAGCCAAACGTTATACTTATTTGCTTCTTCATTATTTCTCCTCTCAATTCTCCCGTTAGAATTTCTTATTTATTATTTTCATCACATGTTATTAATTCACCATTATAACACGTGAATTGATAATAGTACATGACGTTGTAAATAACTTATAACATTCACACATATTCTCATTACGTAGATATCATAACACTCTCTCATCTTCTTCTCTTCCCTTCATATCAATGCATATAAAACTTGTTCTAATCTGAAAATAGCAGAACTTTGGCAATTGTTTTGGATCTTGTGAAGGGCTCGCATTTTCTTTTGTAACTTTTGTTAATTGAACCCAGCATATAAAACGAATAAAAAAGTATTACAGTATTTCTGGACTGGTACAGAATTTGTACAAGCTAATAACAGATGGTAGGGGTAACCTGAAAATGGAAACGTTTTTTTTAAATTATTTTGTGTGTGTCCTTTTGTCTTTCTCTAATCTAGAATGTTCTTTTTTATTTCATTTTTGCCATTGTTTCTCTTTAAAAAGCAGAGCCCGTGAAAGATGGGTTTGGTGGAAGGCCATGGTTTGTTAGTATTAGCAAATCATTTTTCAGGTGGTGGTGGTGGTGGAAGGAGTGGGTGTGATGGCGTTGGAGTTCAGGTCGCAGATGGATGACGCGTGGTACGACGCCCGGATAGTGATGGACGGCTACGATTGCCTGAGGGTGAAGTTCGTCAGCTTCCCCGACGACCACGACGAGGTTTTCGACGCCAATAACTTGACTTCCTTCAAAGATATCGCCGAGTTCAGGCGCCGGTTCAGGCCGGTCTCCGTACAGGTTCAGGATAATGAGTGCTCGCAGGTAGCGAAGGGCACGCTCGTCTGTGTCGCCCACGCAATCTGTCCCGACGACCGCCGCTTCTACGACGCCGTCGTCTACAAGGTCAGTTTTCCCCCCTCTCTCTCTTCCCTACCTTTCACTCTCCCCATCTCTCTCTCTCTCTCTGGCCATTTCCGTTTATAGAAAGGGGGCTTGTCGCTGTACTGGGGGGGACCATGAGAGGAAGGCCCTTTTTGAATACATGATTAATCCCCTCAAGATATTTTCAAAATACTTCTCCTCACAAATATATTTTCAAATTTTTTTGAAATACTAGTTTATTAGTTTGTCTCTTTTTTATGTTGGAAGATGTTTCAAGTTTGAATATCTTACTCTCTTCATAATAAAGAATTCCAAAACAATATGCTTGTTTGGAAATGCTTTTCAAGAACCAGTTTCAAGTGCTATTTCTATTTTAGAAGTATTTAAATTTTAATTAAATTTTAATGTGCTTCTAATAATTGTGCTTCCAGGGGTTAGCCCCGCACCATAGAAAACCCTATTCGATAATTTGCCACTTGGTGGCGGTCAATGGAGGACTCAGGAATTTTTTTAGAGTTGGCTAAAATTTTTTTTGGGAGATCTTTTATAACCAGGAATTTTTGGGCTAGTTAATATTATATGGTAGGATTAAATATTTTTTTATATATAGAAAATGTGGTAGGATTTCAGTGAGTAGAAGAAAAGAAAAAAAAAGATGTGGGTGGTTAGGATAGGCTGAATTCTAAAAGATAAATAGGCTAATATTTAATCATAGTGAATTTTATTGCACTGTTGAGCCCCTTCATATGTCCTTGGTGGCGGTTGATTAGGTAGTTCTACATTTTACCTTGTGGATGGATCTTAAAGTTCGCTTGGCACCGCTGGCTTGTGGTGCCAATTGGGCTCGATTGTGGGCATCTGGCTCTGGTGTTAGTTGGTCACAATGGTGGACATTCGACAATAGGAATGCTAGCTACCTTCTTCATTTCCATTATGACCCGTGTATTCCATTCACACATAAATCTATGTATTTAATGTGTTCAAAAACTCTTTATTCTCTTTACAAGGATGGGTCACAATGTTCACGCGGTTTTATAGAGAAAGATGGTGAAGTATAGCGAAAGAAATTGACAATGTGAGGTTGGTAGGCACAATGACGCCTCTAGCTCGGTGTCAGTTGGTCTCAATGGTGGACTGGTTTTGTAGATCGGCTCATCTTGAGTTCAATCATACTAACAATGAGATTGGTGACAATGGAAATGACAATTAGATCCCACAACTTAACTCAATGTACAATTGCATTGGGTGAATAAACACTCTTTGTGTGCAATTATGTAAGAAACACTTATGGCTCATTTGTGAGTAATTCTGGATATGCTAAAAAGCACTTTTATGAAGAATCAATTCTTTATAGAATCACTTTAAGTGGTTTTAAGTGATCTTATGGAGAAGCACATGGGATGTGTTTCTGCCCAAAATCATTTAAAATCACTTAAAGTGATTATATGGAGAAGCATATGGAAGGTGGTTCTCCCTAAGAGTGATTTTGGCCTATTCATAATCACTCCAAAACGAGCACTATTGGCCAAAATCACTCCCAAACGAGCCCTTATAAATGCTTTTACTGGAAGCACTTTTGTTTGAAGCACAACAAAATTTTCTTTAAAACATGTGCTTCTCCAAGAAGTGCTAAAAAGTTCTTTATAATCTAGAATCACTAAAAAGTTTGTCTTTTCCAACATTGGAAGAAGTGCTTTTGGTTCTCTAAAAGTGCTTTTAGCTATTCTAAAAGCAATGAAAAACAAACCTTAAAAGGTACTTTTATAGTGGTTTGGCCTAAGGGCAATGTTTGGAAGTGCAACTTTAGGAAGCACTTCTTTAGGTCCTTTTTTCAATAAGTACTAAAAAAATGTTTAAAATATTAGGAAAATCAATTGTCCATTGATGGTATTTTCAAATCTTTAGGTTTTGCATGAGGAACATCGGTTTGTAAAAGGAGAAGAAGAATGCCCATGCAGCTTCATTCTCTTTTGGAGACACGGTCCAAAAGCTGGGTGTTTAACTGTTCAAGATCTTGAAAACATATGCAGAGTCCAGCCTCGTAGAAGCAAAATGAATCCACTTCTGACCTCTTTTCTAGAAACAGCCAGGGAGAAAATTGAAATCACCCTTTCTAAAATTTGTGCAACTCCTCATGAAGCTGCCTATGATGAAAAAGCTTGTAGGCCCAGCGTTTCTCAACGTCTAAAGCAGGCAAGTTTTTTGTTATATATATATTTTTATAAGCTTTTACTATATGTATTTAGTTTCATATATTGGGTTTTGTGTTTTTAATAACATTCATATACAAAAAGTTTTTTTATATTAACACATTGACGGGGTTAGAGCAGCTTTAATGGTTGTACGTAAATTTGGGGATGTAAAGCCACATTTACATCTTCTTTACACCTCTGGGGGATTTAAATGTGATTTTTTTTCTAATGGAATGAGATGTAACCACGAAGCGGGACTCGCAATTGCCTATCTTTTATTAATTTCTCTCTCATCTCTCTTCTTGCACCACTAAGTGAGCCCCACAAGTTGGGATGCAAAATCAGATGCAATTGTGCATCTTTTTTGCAACTTTCGGCGATTATGTATATTACCATTCCTTTACATCTGTCAATTGGAGCACTTTCCAGTGAACTTGGATCTAAATTTAGCATACATCCCCATATACATACAACCATTAAAGTTGCTCTTATATCACGTTTTCATATTCCATTACCATATAATAATTTATAATATTAGAGTTTTCATAAGGTTGCATAAAAGAGCATGTTGAAAGTATATTGCACATTGGAATATGAAGTCTTGCGTTACAATAGACTACCGTGGGTGCCTAAGATTTGGATTTGATTGAATTGGATTGGATAAGGTACTAGATTTGAGGCAAAATGAAGTAAGAAATAAAGGTGGATGAGGTGAATGATTTTTCATTTTGTGGGGATTAAAAGGGATAAGTTATAAGGTGTTGATATGCTATCATTTTGTGAGGATTAGAAGGGATAAGTTTCGTTTATCTTCGACTTTGACAAAATTTGGAAGTTGGCCTCAAATGTTTCCCTTAAAATAAAAGATCCAATTTGATCCAATTTTAGGCATCACACGTGGCCATAATATCTTGTGCCTCGCTACTTATTGTCAATTAGTTTTGAGTTGAATGTTTTCTTTTTTGCATGGACCATAGCAGGAAGCCCATGTATTAGATTAAAGGATGCACGTGTTAAGAGTATATAATGGAATTATATAATATCCTGAGCTTCTGCACCCATTGACAATCAATTTTAGATTGCATGCTCTATTTATAACAAGTGGAGTAGAGCAAATAGGGTCTAGCCGAGTGGAAAAGGGTCTTGCCTTGTAAACCAATGGTCTCTGGTTCGAACCCCCATGGCACCCACGTAGTGTGTGAGAGAAATATCTCTCCTCTTGTAGTTTAGACTATTGCTTGTATTGGGAAGAAAAAAAAAAAAACGAGTGGAGTGGAAGAGAGTCTGAGATTTAAGGCTTAGTTGTGGGATTGGAGCTATGTAAGGTTGAAAGTTGTGAGAAATCCTTGTAATTGTTTACTTGGTAACGTAATTAACCATCCCTCTTCTCCATTCACTCTCTTTCTCTTGTCTTTAGTTATTATTTGGATTTGTCTGGGACTTTCCACAACTCCATTTTTTATGCTAGTCAGCCTATTTGTAGGATACAAGCACTTCAAGGCGACCCTCAAGCCTTATCTCGTCTCTTAAAGGTTTGTACAAATTGCCCTTAAAACCTTTTCCAAATGCATTAGTTTCTTAATCTTTTACCGTTCCTCAAGGCAGAAATGAATGGAAATCCTTCGCAAAGGGCTGGACATGTCAGGGAGATCGAAGGGACCCCCCATATGATAATCGTTGACAATCTTGAGGGGGGTTTATCACCGTTAAAAATTGTGGAATTTATCAATAAAAAAGTTTCAATCTCCTGTGAAGCATTTGTTTCGCCGTGTATGTCGTCTGAGTGGCATACTCGAGGAACCATTCTGGTGGACAGCAAAACGAATGTTGACAAGTTATCTGACTTTCTGGAGGGTCCCGATCACATCATCATCTCCTCAAGTGGAAGGTATCTAATGTAAAATGCCTCTTTTCTTGATTGTAGAGGTTAGCTTGAATTGCATTCCCTAAACATTGGGTCTAAGCGGTTGTCCAAGCTTTGGGGATGAAGTGTTTGTCAAGCTTTGGGGTCTGAAGGTTCGTTTGGGGCGGCTTCTATAGAAAATATTTGTCCTTATAAGTGCTTATGTTAAAAGCCCTTTTATTAGAACATAAAAAAATTTGTTAAAATTCCAAGCGCTTCTTGGAAAAGCACTTTGAAAGCGCTTCCAAATGCTTCTCCAGATTTTATGGCCCATAAGCACTTTTAAATTGTTCTGCTAAATGCAGTCAGAGACATTTTTAGACAACTAAAAACGCTTTTAACTCTTTTAGAAGCACTGCGAAACATACCTTAAGTGATTGTCCAACGTGGCATAGAGATAGAGTCTCTGTTTGCGGGTCGTGTGTTGGAAACACCCAGTCCCCTTCCGGAAATCTTTGTTGATTCACAAGGTGTAGTATGGGGCTGCACGTAAATTTTTTTTTCTTCTCTAATTTCATTTCCTCCTCATGTGCAAGTGGGGCTACTCCTGAGAGATGGTGTTAATTTGATATGCATTATTGATCTATTTCTTAACATCTAGCTTTGGTTGTCCTACATAAATTATGCAAAGTTGACAATCTTAATATGGTTTTTACTCTAATTGATTGGTTAAAACGTGCATCATTTTATAATTTCATGCAGACCTTGGGTGATGACTGAGAAAACACGGGTACATGAGCCATCCATTAAAAACTTCATGCTTATATCTCAGGTTAGTTACCTATGACCTCGTTTGATTACCATATCATTTTAGTTTTTAATTTTTACTTGTTTTTAGTTTTTGCTAGGAATAGAGAGTGTATGGAAAAAAATGTAGACGGGGGAGGAGAGAGGAGTGAAGTAGAATGTATGAAAGAAAACTACTGAAAATTTTAGTTTTCATTTTGTGTATCATATGTATTTCTTCCACAAACCTTCCTCCGCAATTCTTCCACTCTTTTTCATCTTTCATTTCTCCCATATATTTTCTTTATATCTATAACAAAAAATGAAATAGTTATTAAACGGGTCACATAATTTTTCATGCGTTTGCAGCCCCTTTAGTGATCGACCCTTTAGAGTTCGTTTGGTGCTTAGGCTTGGATATGATATGATTAGGGCCGGTCCTGGGTCTTATGAGGCCCAAGGCTAAAGCTAGATGGTGCCCTTTTAACAAATTAATCATTAAAATTTAAATAAAAAATTAATTAATTAATTAATTTTATTGACAATGATAAGAGTTTACAAAAAAACAAGGATAATATTTGGGTCTCGTTAAAACCTTGCTCGGAGAAAACCCAGTGCGACAGGAAAAAGATTATCCAAAAATGTTCAAAACATTGTATTCAATAACAAAAGCCACATATTTTGTAACTTTCAGGTGTCCATGCTTCATCTCCAGCCTTCATGAGCACATGTACCTGCAAAATAAAAATACTATCATTTAAAATGTCTTCTTATCGCACTTTTGGAAGCAAAATCATCAATTATATTTCCATAATCAATATTTTCCAACATATCCTTTTCAATGGCTAATATTGCTAATCCATGTAACATTCTAAGATAATAATTTATGGAAAAATGTCTACAGTGTTCATCCATAGGAAATTTGAGATTAGCGCATCTCACAGGACCATTTTGTACAAGTATATCTCTCATTTTTGCATAAAGATAATCCCAAACTCGTGGATCATAAATGTTCAAATCAAATCTTGTTTCTTGGCATTCATTTTCTGTATCTTCTTCACCATGGCAATTCTCATTTTCATCTAGATCATTCACTTCGTTCATATTTCCAGATAATTGTTTCCTAGGAAACATTTTTAATTTTAAGATAAAAATCTCAAGAATCAAATCAACACAGAAACAAACAAACGAACAATAATAATAAAGCAACTAAAAATAAGAGCAATAATTTAACTAATGAACGACAAGGAACAACAAAACCTCGAATTTGAGCATTTTTTTCTTCAATTCATGAAGCAAAAAAACCAAGCTCGATGTTTGCGTGCTTGATATGCAGTACAAAATCGTGTTGCGTTTTGTGTTTTAGAGTTGGAGACCAGCTTGTGTGGCCTACTTTTCTTTCTTTTTAAAGTTTGTTTTGGTACACCAAGATGCACATGGCTTTGTGTTAAGTGCTTCAGGGAATCATGGGCATCTGGCCTACAACTTTTAAAGAAAAAATTATTTGTTGCGGCCCCATGGGTTTGTGCTTAGTTTAGTGTGCACATGCTGCTGTAGTATATATATAATATTGTATTTGGTCTGATATATACACTAGCTATATGAAACATTTGCCAGTGGGTTCTACCAGAGTGTCTTTTTCAATCCAATCGAATTCAATCTTAAACACCAAAAGAACCCTTAATGCTTTATCTTGACTGTTGACTAATCACTGCTTGGAAGTAATCCTTGTATCTGCATTAAAACAGAGCTGTGCCATGATAACTACAGAATTTATCTTCAGAGCCCCCTCCCCAAGAAAGAGTTGAGAAGAATACCAAACCTAGATACAATCTGAAACAACTTGTATAACCGCAGCAACGTAATACTATTCTTATTGTTTTTGCAGAAACAACAGAGTAGAAGAAGTGAAACTATGAATGAACCGAAGGTGGTCGCTTCAGGAACTGAAGAATACAAGAAAGCCAAGCTGCTTAAAGATTTATTTTGGGAATTTGCTAATCATCAATGCCAACTTCACCGGAGGTTACTGATTGAGGAGGGAAGGATCTGTCATCTTTCCAATGCCATGCAGAAGAGGTAAATGCTTTTAAAGCCTGAGTTCCTTGAGCAATGGTTATTGTATTGTTGCACAAATATACAACAG